CTTTCATTTTAAATTAAAAATAATTTTGGCTAAAAATATTTGTACGTATGTTTTATCTTTACATTATTAATATTATACATATAGTATTTCATAGTTTAGATAAGAATAATTACGTATGTATGATCAAAGTAGTCTATCATATGTCATATGTGCGTCAATTAGATGACTTATAATCAGTAGTTAAATTTTTCAAATTTTGGGGTATTTGACAAATCCGCCGTAATGGCCTTCATTAACTTAGTAAGATGTTTTACAATATGTACAATATTATAAAATAATAAAAAAAGCAAAAATAAGCTAATTAGAAACAGCATACTGTCACGATTTTGGGAGAGACTATGTATTCGTGACTATTATATTTAGCTCTTACCGCGAGCATAAGGGGTCTATGTTCTCTGTCTATTATTTAATTATTATTAGAGCAGTGTAAACTAAGTACATAGACGTGGGAACTGGGAAGTTATTGTTCAATGCTTTTATTTCCGTATGACACCTAATTTATCGAATGCGTTGGTCTATGCAAGTTCTTATTTTATTTGGATTATACTTGTTGATTTGGGGTTTATCGTTTTTTTATTAAGATCAGGTATTTATAGGATGATGAATAAATACATATTAAAAATATCAAAAATATCGAAAATACTAAGAATATTAACAATAATAAAAATGTTAAAAATGCTATGTATTGCTTATGTTTCGTATTTATAAGTATTCTCTTTTGCCTCCTAGCGGAAACTGTCTCTTAAATATGCTTTTCTGCCAACCTTCAAATTAATTTCCATGGAAAAAGAAATAACTCAAGAGCAAATAATGAAGTAATTTTATCGTATAGACTCCAAATGTCCATTAAATGTAGTCACAAAAGAAAAATGTAAAGCTTAATACATGAAATTCATTAAATCAAAAGAAATAAAGTTACTAATACAGAGCAAATAGCAATAAACAGTGCTGCTGGGTAACTGACTGATCATCAAATATTATCATCGGTTTAAGGGCACTGTCGGAATTAGAGTTAATACCTCTATCCGGATTTATATATACTATGTAATATGATATAACATGACATAATGTTTTTATATCCAGATATAAATAAATCCGGATTTACAGCTGTTTTCATAAATTCTGGAACAACTGATAAAAATTGATCAGCCGAATTTGATAAGTTCGATAAGTTTTTGAATTTGCCGAAATCAAATTCTGATAACACCGAATTCTAAAAACTTATCGAATTCGGCCGAAATAATTTTATCAGTTGTCTCAGAATTTATGAAAACAGCTGTAAATTTATATCCGGATTTATACTATGATAAAACCGGATTAATCCGGATATAAAAATATATCCGAATTGAAGTATTAACTCTAGTTGGAATTCACATGGCATCGATCAAATCAGGCAAATTTTGTTCGAAGACAGAATTTCTCATAACACATACTACCATTTAAACAAAAAATAAGCTATTTAATAAAATATTCTGATGATAAATAAGATTTAAGCATAAAGAATTGTAAAAAATTCTATAAAACCAAAAATAGCATTTATCAAATAGCACCATTAGTATATTCCAACTCACAATATAAATTCATCTCAAGACTTTATCGTTATTTATTAATGATGCTAAATAATAATTAACATTGCCTACATGAAATTTTTTTATAAATACAGGTGGCCCAGCTAACTATATCTTGCTAATTCTGACTTAGAAAGTTGATAGTCGGATCTATCAAAACTACAAGCCCTGTAAGAAAAGTGGTACAGGTGGTGGCACGTGGTGGTTTCGGTAATGTTCGTAATAGTACATTTTCTGTAGCATGTGTAGGCACGTGATGCGGAGTGTTACATTTCGATTGATACGAAGTGGTACATTTCGAATGATATGTAATAACACTATGACAAGCATTTGCTCGTTGCATGAAGTGGTACGTTTTAAATAGTACAGAGTAGTACATTTCGAGTGATATATGATAACTCGTATGATAAGCACTGGCTCATTATATGGAGTGGTACTTTTCAAATGGTGTGGAGTGGTACGTTTCGAATGATAAGTGATAACACATATGACAAGCACTGGCTCATGGTACTTTTCAAATAGTACGGAGTGGTACATTTCAAATGATATGTGATAATACATATGACAAGCACTGGAGTGGTAATTTTCAAATGGTACAGAGTGGTACGTTTTGAATGATATGTGATAACGTGTAAATTTAAACAATATGTAATGTGCACATTGCACAGAAAGATATACATATATGGTGTTATAGGATGGGCTCGTGCATAATTGTACACGTAAAATATAAAACTTTCATCCAACATATGTTTTTTAAATCTGCATGCTATATTAAATTTATAATTATAAAACAGTCGATTACTACGCTCCCTTAATATTATATATTTTTAGAGTTTGTACTTAATATTGTTAGCATTTTACCTTAGGCCGTTTGAAGTTAATTTTTCTGTTAACATTACCCGTCCCCTCTCCCCTTTCCCCTTTGATCCCCCGGTAAGATAAACATATAAAAAAAGTAAAATTAAAAAAAAAATACCGTATAACCACGAAATAGCGTACTGGGTTGTGGTTTCGAATTTCGGCCTAAATTAAACTTAATTCAGGCCGAAATTCGAATAACTCCCTATGAACTATTATATGGCAGATATAAAATAAAAAAATAATTTAAAAAATAAAAGTAACCGAATAAATAAGTAACAAACAATCTAAAAAAAAAAAAGAGAATAAAAATAAATAAATAATAAAAAATAAAGCTAAAATTTTAGTTTCTACTTGGCTATTCTCTCAAATATGTTTATTTTGTTTGTGAAGAGCTAAAGAACTAGTATTAATAAGTAAGAAGAAATATTTAAATAAACATTTAAGTTTTATGGAAATAACAATTACAAACCAATTATTCGAATTAAAACTTTTTACTCAGTGATTTATTTCATTCAATGAGGGACAAAATTTGTATTTGACTAATTGAAACTTGGGGAATTGGTAAACCCAAATTCCGATTTGCAAATCCAATTACTAGATCACAAGAGTTTTGACTGTAAAAATTGTATGTATGTACAAAGTTCTTTTTCTTGGATGAGTGCATTATATAATTTTTAGTTATTTATTTATTTTTGCTTCTCTCTTTTATAATAGGAATGTCATATGCAAGACAAATTATTTATTTTAAGCTTAAAATTAAACTTTTAATTCTAGC